CTACAATTCGATACCACCTTACTCCTACAAGAATGGCCATAATCAAAATATCAAAAAACAGTAGATGTTGGCATGGATGCAGTCAACAGGAAGTACTTCTACACTGCTGGTGGGAATGTAAACTAGTACAACCACTATGGAAAACAGTGTGGGAGATTCCTTAAATAACTAAAAGTAGAACTACCATTGGATCCAGGAGTTCCACTACTAGGTATTTACCCAGAGGAAAAGAAGTCATTATTCAAAAAAGATACTTGCACATGCATGTTTATAGCAGCTCAATTGCAAAATAGTGAAACCAACTGAAATGCACATCGATCAACAAGTGGATAAACTGTGAGAGAGATATATATATAATGATGGAATACTACACAGCCATAAAAAGAAATATATTAACAGCATTTGCAGTGACCTGGATGAGATCAGAGACTATTATTCTAAGTGAAGTAACTCAGGAATGGAAAACTGTTGGGAGCAAGCCCCCCAAAATCCGGCCATAAACTGGCCCCAAAACTGACCATGAACAAAATTTCTGCAGCACTACAACATGTCCATAAAGGCCCTAACGCCCAAGCTGGAAGGTTGTGGGTTTATGGGAATGAGGGAAAGGAACACCTGGCGCACCCAGGGTGGAAAACTGCTTAAAGGCATTCTTAAGCCACAAACAATAGCATGAGCGATTTATGCCTTAAGAGCATGTTCCTGCTGCAGTTAACTAGCCCAACTTATTCATTTAATTCGGACCCCTTCTTTCCCATAAGGGATACTTTTTGTTAATTTAATATCTATAGAAACAATGCTAATGACTGCTTTGCTGTTAATAAATATGCAGGTAAATCTCTGTTCAGGGCTCTCAGCTCTGAAGGCTGTGAGACCCGATTCCCCACTTCACACCTCTATATTTCTCTGTGTGTGTCTTTAATTCCTCTAGCGCCACTGGGTTAGGGTCTCCCCGACCGAGCTGGTCTCGGCAAGTGGCGTCCATTCATGGGGGCTCGAATCCAGGTCGAAGGGTTGCCGGAGTGACGGTTGGAACCGAAAACTAGCTGGAGGACACCCAAGTACTCTTAAAGCAATCCCCATGGTGAGTAAGAAGGGAAGCTCAGAAGCATCAGGGTAACAATGGGGCAAGTTTGGGGTCTGGTTCGTTCCACCTTGGAACTTTTTCACACTGATGACAAGGAGGAATAAGAGTATAGCGAAGTGACAGAAGAGGTTACAGAGCATGTTTATTTGCCAACTAAAGCTAAACCGGCAAAAGAAGGAGAGGTTCATCCCTACCCTTCTGCACCCCCTCCTTATTATTTTGAAGAAAATGACCCCCCAGATCTTTCTTCTCCAGAGGACACTGGGCGAAAAGTAGTTACCCCAGTGACTGTTTCTGCAGTGCCTCGAGCGATGGCTCTTAGTTCTATTCAGGCAGGAATTCAGCAAGCTAGATGAGAGGGTGATCTAGAGGCTTGGCAGTCCCCTGTTAGAATACACCCCCCAGATCAACAGGGAAATATTACAGCTACATTTGAGCCTTTTCCTTTTAAATTACTCAAAGAATTAAAATAAGCAATAAATCAGTATGGACTAGGTTCTCCTTTTGTAATGGGATTGTTAAAGAATGTTACTGTTTCCAGTTGGATGATTCCTGCTGACTGGGATGCTCTTACTGGAGCTTGTCTAACTCCTGCTCAGTTCTTACAATTTAAAACTTGGTGGGCACATGAAGCTTCCATTCAGGCTGCTCACAATGCCCAGGCCCAACCTCAAATTAATATAACTGCAGACCAACTTTTGGGGGTTGGCGGCTGGGCTGGTTTAGATGCACAACTGGTCATGCAGGATGATGCCATAGAACAGCTTAGAGGAGTGTGCATTAGAGCTTGGGAAAAGAATCACTTCTGGTGGAGAACAATGCCCTTCCTTTAGTGCTATAAAACAGGGACCCAGAGAACCATATGTTGATTTTATAGCTCGGTTACAGGAGTCTCTTAAAAAGATGACTGCAGATTTGGCTGCTCAGGACATAGTGTTGCAGTTACTAGCTTTCAACAATGCTAATCCTGATTGCCAGGCTGCTCTGCCATCTATCAGAGGGAAAGCACATTTAGTCGATTATATCAAGGCCTGTGATGGTATTGGAGGTAATCTGCATAAAGCTCCCTTGTTGGCACAGGCAATGGCAGGACTGCGAGTGGATAAAGGAAATACTCCATTTCCTGGAGCTTGTTTTAACTGTGGGAAGCATGGTCATACTGAAAAAGAATGTAGAAAAAATCAGCAAGTCAGGCCGCCAGATAGGGGAAAAAAGAAAACTGTTGAGCCTGAAATATGTCCAAAATGTAACAAAGGAAAACAATGGGTTAGTCAGTGTCACTATAAGTTTGATAAAGATGGGAACCCGATTTTGGGAAACGCCATGAAGGGCCCATCCCGGGCCCCGTTTTAAACCAGGGCATATCCAGCTCAAGCCATTCCCTCACCCCTGTACAATGTCTGTCCCTCGCCATAGCCAGGAGCACCACAGTAGATTTATGCTGCACAAAAGCTGTGAGACTTCTGCCTGGGGAACCCCCACAAAAGGTCCCAACAGGAGTCTGTGGACCCTTGCCAGCAGGGACAATAGGATTACTTTTAGGAAGGTCTAGTGTAAGTTTAAAAGGTGTACAAATACATATAGGAGTCATTGATTCAGATTATAATGGGGAAATTCACATTGTTATATCTACTTCTGTTCCCTGGAAAGCAGAGCCAGGAGAGTGCATAGCATAGCTCCTGATTGTGCTGTATGTGGGAATGGGAAAAAGTGAAATTAAACGAACAGGAGGATTTGGAAGCACAAATAAACAAGGCAAAGCAGCTTATTGGGTGAATGAAATTTCTGATAAACATCATACTTGTGAAATAACTATTCAAGGAAAGAAATTTAAAGGTTTGGTAGATACAGGAGCGGACATTTCAATCATTTCTCTACAGCACTGACCATCCACGTGGCCAATTCAACCCGCTCAATTTAACATAGCTGGAGTTGGTAAAGCTGCTGAAGTATATCAAGGTAGTTATATTTTGCATGGTGAGGGGCCCGATGGACAACCTGGGACTATTCAACCAATTATAACTTCTGCACCTATAAATTTATGGGGTAGAGATTAATTACAACAATGGGGAACACAAGTTCTAATTCCACAAGTGGAAAAACAAAGCTTCTGCCAAAGATTAGAAAAAATTTTTTGATGGCAGCCATTATTAAGCCTCCAGAACCTATACCTTTAAAATGGTTAACAGATAAGCCAATTTGCATAGAACAATGGCCATTAAGTAAAGACAAACTGGAGGCTTTAGAGACATTAGTTACTGAACAATTAGAAAACGGGCACGTAGCTCCAACATTTTCTCCTTGGAATTCTCCAGTTTTTGTAATTAAGAAAAAATCAGGTAAATGGAGAATGTCAACTGACTTAAGAGTCATCATTTCAGTTATACAACCTATGGGAGCATTACAGCCAGGACTGCCTTCTCCTGCTATAATTCCAAAAAATTGGCCTTTAATAGTCATAGATGTAAAAGACTTTCTTTACTACCCCTTTCGCTGAGCAAGACTGTGAAAGGTTTGCATTTACAATTCCTGCAGTAAACAACCTGCAGCCTGCTAAACGTTATCACTGGAGTGCTGCCACAGGGCATGTTAAACAATCTGACTATTTGCCAGATGCATGTGGAGTAAGTAATTGAACCTACTCAGAAAAATTTTCACAGTTTACATTATTCACTATATGGATGATATACTTTGTGCTGCCCCCACTCGAGAAATATTACTCCAATGTTATGATCACTTGCAAAATTCAATTTCTCGTGCTGCTTTAATTATAGCTCCTGACAAAATTCAGACTACTCCTTACTCCTACTTGGGGACCTTAGTAAATGACACTACCATTGTGCCACAGAAAGTAACCATACATAGGGATAAATTAAAATCATTAAATGATTTTCAAAATTTACTAGGGGATATTAATTGGATACAACCTGCTCTAGGCATTCTTACCTATGCCATGAGTAATCAGTTTTCTATCCTTGGAGGAAATCCTAGTCTGACTAGCCCTAGCAATTAACAAAAGAGGCTGAGGCAGAGTTAAAACTGATTGAAAAGAAGTCCATAAAGCTCTGATAAATAGAATAGATCCAGAGAAGACTCTACATTTGCTAATTTTTTCAACTCAGCATTCACCTACTGGTGTTATTGTCCAAGAACAGGACTTAGTTGAGTGGCTTTTTCTTCCACATACTAATTCATGGACTCTAACTCCTTATTTAGATCAAATCGCTACTATGATAAGGATTGTGAGAACTCGGATTGTTAAATTACATGGATATGATCCTGGAAAAATTATTGTCCCTCTCATGAAGGCACAAATACAGCAAGCTTTTATAAATAGTCTTACTTGGCAAACCCATTTAGCTGACTGTGTGGGTATTCTCGATAATCATTTTCCTAAAATGAAGCTGTTCCAGTTTTTGAAATTAACTAATTGGGTTCTCCCTAAAATACCTAAATTTAAAGCAATTGAAGGTGCTGAGAATGTTTTTACAGATGGGTCTAGTAATGGCAAAGCTTCTTATTTTGGCTCAAAAAGTAAAGTTTTCCAGACGTTCTATACTTCAGCTCAAAAGCGGCTCTTGTAGCTGTAATTGACTTATTGACTGCTTTTGATATGCCTATTAATGTGATTTCTGATTCTTCATACGTGGTTCATTCTACACAGTTACTTGAAAATGCTCAGTTACGATTTCATACAGAAGAACAACTGATGACAAAAACAAAAAAGGAGGAGAAATAGGGATTACAGGACAGCCCATACACAATTGAATCTAGCATCATTTGGTGAAAAGATCCGATAGCAAAAAGTTGGGAAATAGGTAAAGTAATAATTTGGGATAGAGGTTATGCTTGTATTTCTCCAGGCCAAAATCAACAGCCAATTTGGATACCACCAAGACACCCGAAAGCTTACCATGAGACCGATGCTGATGAGGAGATTCTGGGAGGATGCTGAGGACCCCGCAGCTGCAGCCATGTCGAGGCTGATGCTGAGGACGACCCCAACTGTCATGAGCAACACCTGTTGAACACAGCCACCCACCTGGGGACAGATCAAGAAGCTGTCACACATGGCAGAAGAAAACCTGAGGAAAGCGGGACAACCAGTCACAATGAATAATTTAATGGTAGCTATGATAGCGGTTATCACCACTGCCCTGAGTATTCCTTCAATAAGGGCTTGTAATAATGCCTGGATGCAATCACTCTATGACACAGTTACACATGCTTTCTGATCTCAGTATTTACCATAATAATCTGCTTCTATAATTGAAGCATACCACCCTCAAAAACCTGTTTGTAAACAGGATTGGATCCAGTTAGAAAAATGAATGTACTTGTTTAGGAAGATTGCACTGCAGAACAGGCAGAGGTGCTGCACAACAATTCCTATGGAATCATTATTGATTAGTCCCCTAAGGGGATGTTTAGCTTGAATTGCACCTCTCAGTCTGCATGCCACAGCTACACTATGTTCAGATAATCTGAACAAAACAGTCAGATGGTAGAAATGATAAGCACGGCAAAAGTTTCTATTATCTGGAACCATGGCGATATAGTGGCACATCAACCTCAAATGATATGGCCCGCTCTAGGAGCTAAACATAAGGATTTGTAGAAACTACTAATGCTCTTAAAAAGATAAAAATTTGGGAAATAATAAAAAAGCCTCTGGAAGAACACTCTACAAACTAGTCTTTGGATATAGCAAAATTAAAAGAACAAATATTTAAAGGATCCCAGGCACACCTGACCTTAATGCCAGCAACTAGAGTGCTTAAAGGAGCTGCAGACAAATTAGCAGCTAGTAACCCATTTAAATGGATTAAAACACTTGGAAGCTCTGTGATTGCAATGATGATTGTGCTTTAATCTATGTTGTCTTTGTATAGTCTGCAGATGCAGATCCCGACTCCTGCGAGAAGTAGCTCACCGTGACAAAGCTGCCCTTGCTTTTATCTCTTTGCAAATCAAAGAAGGGACACATGTTGGGAGCAAGCCCCTCAAAATCTGGCCATAAACTGGCCCCAAAACTGGCCATGAACAAAATCTCTGCAGCACTATGACATGTCCATAATGGCCCTAACGCCCAAGCTGGAAAGTTGTGGGTTTATGGGAATGAGGGCAAGGAACACCTGGCCCACCCAGGGCGGAAAACCGCTTAAAGGCATTCTTAAGCCACAAACAATAGCATGAGCGATTTACGCCTTAAGGGCGTGTTCCTGCTGCAGTTAACTAGCCTAATCTATTCATTTAATTCGGCCCATCCCTTTGTTTCCTATAAGGGATACTTTTAGTTAATTTAATATCTATAGAAAAAATGCTAATGACTGGTTTGCTGTTAATAAATATGTGAGTAAATCTCTGTTCACAGCTCTCAACTCTGAAGACTGTGAGACCCGATTCCCCAGTTCACACCTCTACATGTCTGTGTGTGTGTCTTTAATTCCTCTAGCACCACCGGGTTAGGGTCTCCCCGATCGAGCTGGTCTCAGCAGAAAACAAAACATCGTATGTTCTCACTAATAAGTGGGAGCTAGGCTATGAGGATGCAAAGGCATAAGAATAATACAATGGATTTTGGGGACTTGGAGGGAGAAGTGGGAAGCCGGAGAAGGATTAAAAGACTACAAATATGGTGCAGTGTATACTGCTAGGGTGATATGTGCACCAAAGTCTCACAAATCTCCACTAAAGAACTTACTCATGTAACCAAATACTACCTGTACCCCAATAACTTATGGAAAAATAAAAATAATAATCTTAAAAAGGTCATTGCCCCCCCCCCAAAAAAAATTGGAACTTCTGTTTGTGATTGTATTGAATCTGTAAATCATTTTGGAGATGTATTTATTTTCTAGGTCTGCCATAACAGATGTTGGTGGCTTAAACAATGGAAATTTATTTTCTCACAGTTCTAGAATCTTGAAGTCCAAAATTAAGGTCTCTAAGTTTCCTTTATTCTGAGGCCTCTCCCCGTGACTTGCAGATGGCTACCTTCTCACTCTGTCCTCATCTGGTCATTTCTTTGTGTTGTCTGTGTCCTCATCTCCTCTTCTCAATAAAGACAACTGTTGCACTGGATTAGGGTCCACCCATATTGTGTCTGGAATTGGTGGGTTCTTGGTCTCGCTGCCTTCAAGAATGAAGCCCCAGACCCTCGCAGTGAGTGTTACAGTTCTTAAAGATGGTGTGTCCAGTGTTTATTCCTTCAGATGTTCAGATGTGTCCGCAGTTTCTTCCTTTTGGTGGGTTCGTGGTCTCGCTGACTTCAGGAGTGAAGCTGCAGACCTTTGCAGTGAATGTTACAGTTCTTAAAGGCGGCGCATCTGGAGTTGTTTCTTCTTCCCGGTGGCTTTGTGGTCTCGCTGGCTACAGGAGTGAAGCTGCAGACCTTCCCAGTGAGTGTTACGGTTCATAAAGGCGGCATGGACCCAGAAGAGTGAGGAGCAGCAAGATTTATTGTAAACAGCAAAAGAACAAACCATCCACAATGTGAAAAGGGACACTAGCAGGTTGCCACAGCTGGCTCAGGCAGCCTGCTTTTATTCCCTTATCTGACCCCACCCACATCCTGCTGATTGGTCCATTTTCCAGAGAGTTGATTGGTCTATTTTACAGAGAGCTGATTGGTCCATTTTACAGACAGCTGATTGGTCTGTTTTGACAGAGTGCTGATTGGTGTGTTTACAACCCCTCAGCTAGACACAGAGTGCTGATTGGTGTGTTTACAATCCCTGAGCTAGACACAAAGTGCTAGACAAAAAAGTTCTCCAAGTCCCCACTAGATTAGCTAGATACAGGAGTACTGACTGGTGTATTTACAAACCTTGAGCTATACACAGGTTGCTGATGTTGGCATTTACAATCCCTGAGCTAGACATAGTGCTGATTGGAGCGTTTACAATCCTTTAGCAAGACACAGAGTGTTAGAAAAGTTCTCCAAGCTCCCACTAGATTAGCTAGATACCGAGTACTGATTGGTGTATTTATAAACCTTGAGCTAGACACAGGGTGCTGATTGGTGTATTTACAATCCCCTAGTTAGACATAAAGGTTCTCCAAGTCCCCACTAGACTCAGGAGCCCAGCTGGCTTCACCTAGTGGATCCTGTACCAGGGCCGCAGGCAGAGTTACCCGCCAGTCGGGTGCTGTGCCCCTACACTCCTCAGCCCTTGGGCGGTCGATGGGACCGGGTGCCATGGAGCAGGGGGCGGCACCTGGTGAGGCTCAGGCTGTGCGGGAGCCCACCGTGGGGGGCTCAGGCATGGAGGGCTGCAAGTCCTGAGCCCCACCCTGTGGGGAGGCAGCTGAGCCCCAGTGAGTTTCAGAGCATGGCGCAGGCAAGCCGGCAGTGCTGAGGGACCCAGTGCACTCTCCACAGCTACTGGCCCGGGTGCTAAGCCCCTCACTGTCCTGGGCTGGGGGCACTGGCCCGCTGCTCCGAGTGCGGGCCGGCCAAGACTGCAGCCGCTGGAACTTGTGCTGGCCCGTGAGCACAGCGTGCAGCCCCGGTTCCTGCCTGGGCCTCTCCCTCCACACCTTCCCACAAGCAGAGGGAGCTGGTTCCAGCCTGGGCCAGCCTAGAGAGGGGCTCCCACAGTGCAGTGGCAGGATGAAGGGCTCCTCAAGTGCTGCCAGAGTGGATGCTGAGGCCGAGGAGGCACCGAGAGTGAGGGCTGCTAGCACATTATCACCTCTCAACATGACCTAATTTTACCTTCCTTATCCAAATACGGTCACATTCTGAGATAGAGAGGATTAGGACATTATTTAACATAGGAATTTGGAGGAGGGGAACCCAATTCAGCCCATAACAGGGGAGCACTGATATTTTCCCAAAATTGAACCTGCCAACCCACGAACACAATATATCCATTTTCCATTTAATATTATTTAACACCTTTAATAGACAGTGATACATTTTGCTGAGAGGCATTAAATAATATTGAACATCATGTTGGGTATCCCTTTATTTAATGAGATCCCCTTTTCTCCCTTTCGTACTATGTTTTAAGTCCTAGAAGGTTGACATTTATGGACCCCATTAAAGGGCTCCCTTGTCTTCTGGGCTCTGACTGGGTTTGACCAATGGGAAGCATGGGCAGAAGATCTAAAAGTAGATATCCATTTCCCCACTTCTTCCCCATGGCTGGGCTGATGATAATTGGGAGCAGTTGTGTTCCTCTACTGATTATTCCACCTCTCGCCCAGAGCCTTCTGCTGCAGCCATACCTTTCTCAATGAAATCACGTTCAGATAACTGCTCCCTTTCAGATTCTCGTTCAGATCTACGGTTAGTGCCCCATTTTCTTCTTGTTGGTTACTTTTGATCCTGGCCACACTTCTGTAACTGATCCCTTCATTACGTTGCCCTCAACTTCTACATTTCAGTGTGCCAGTTTTCTTTTACTGGGGAGTACACTTTGTTTATTCCAATGTACTTTATAACTCTTGATGCCATTTAACATGGTATACTTTAAAATTACATTTTCTGTTGTTGCTAACATATAGAAATGTGATGTCTTCATTACACACACACACACACACACAACAAAAAAAAAAAAAAACCCAGTAATGTAGCCATTGCACTCTAGCCTGGGTAACATAGTGAGACCTTATCTCTTTTAAAAAAAGAAAAAATCAACTCCAGTAACCTTTCTAAATTCTCTCATTAATTCCAGTAATTTGTATTAGTTTTTTTTTCTTTTGAGACACGTTCTTACCTCATCGTCCAGGCTGAAGTGCAGTAGCAGAAATAGGGCTTATTGCAGCCACAAACTTCTGTGCTCAAGTGATCCTCCTGCCTCAGTGTCCCGTGTAGCTGGGATCACAGGTGTGTACCACCATGCTAGGCTAATTTAATTTTTTTGTGGAGTCTGGGTCTCATTCTGTTGCCCAGGTGGGTCTTGAATTCCTGGACTGGAGTGATCCTCCCAACTCAGCCTTCCAAAGTACTGGGAACTGGAATTACAGGCATGAGCCACCGCACCTTGCCTCTTTTCTTTATATATAACCTCTAAAACAATTTCTAATCACAGATTTACAACTTTCTTTGGAACATTTATGCATTTTTAAGTTTCCTGAACATCGAGTGCAATGCTGTATAGAACAGGCAGTAGCAATCATCTGTCTTGTACCTAATACAGAATGCTTTCTGTGTTTCACCATTAGGTGTGGGGTTTCAGATTGTCAGGTTAAAAAACTCCCTTCTATTTTTAGTGTCTAAGAGTTCTTGTAAGTGAAAGGATGCTGAATTCTATCAAAAACTTTTTACACATCTTTTGATATGATTTTCTTCTTTAATCTTTTAATATTGTGAATTTTATCA